GGACTCGATCCCGGGACTCCAAGATCATGACCTGAGCCGAAGGCAGTCGCTTAACCAACTGAGCCGCCCAGGCGCCCTCTGTTACTTTTAATTAATGCCTATAGGGATTCAAACCAGCCTCTGCCAACTACCTTGCTGCAGCTCAACAAACACCTAGGGGACTGTTTCCCTAAAGCATCGAAGGGCACTGGTTCTACCTGAGGTGGTCTGAATGAATCTCTACCGCCACCCAGTGAATCATGCTAATCTATTAAGAGCTACTTAACTATCCTTTAACAATCTGTTTTGTTTTGTTTTTAGTTTTTATTTTAATTCCAATAGGGGTAACATACACTGTTAGAGTAGTTTTAGGTGCACAATACAGTGATTCAGCAATTCTTTTGAATTCCACATCACCTGGTGCTCATCACAGCGAGTGCCCTCCTTAATCCCCATCACCTATTTCCCCCATCTCCTCACCCACCTCCCCTCGGGTAACCATTAGTTTGTTCTCTAGAGTTAAGAGGCTGTTTCTTGGTTTATCTCTCTCCCTCTTTTTTTCCTCTTTGCTTGTTTGTTTTGTTTCTTACATTCCACATAAGAGTGAAATCATAAGGTATTTGTCTTTCTCTGACTTAGTTCACTTAGCTTTATACTCTCTAGCTCCATCCATGTCGTTGCACATGGCAAGGTTTCATTCTTTTTTGTGGCTGAATAATATTCCACTGTATACATATATACCACTTCTTCTTCATCCATTTATCAATCAATGGACAATTCCAGCCTTGAAGTTATATTATTAAGCTATAGTCATCAAAACAGTATGGTACTGGCACAAAAATAGACACATAGATCAATGGAACAGAATAGAAAACCCAGAAATGAACCCACAATTATATGGTCAATTAATCTTTGACAAGGCAGAAAAGAATATCCAATGGGAACAACCTATTCTCAACTTGCCCAAAAGTGGCATTTGCCTCATTGGCATATGGCTTACAAAGCTCACCTTTTTCCTCTTCACGCAATTCCAAGAATCTCCCCAGATCTAGCCTTCCAACACCTTTTCCACATGGTTCCTTGAATATCATCAACCACAGAGCGGTTAAAACTATGAGATTAGACAACATGAGATTGCCATTTTGATATACTATCAGTGGTCAGATATTGACAAGAACATATGGTTTAACTCAATGTCTTGGAACGATGGCTGGGATTCTTCAGAGTCTTCATACATGAGCCTGTTTCAGGACCCTTTTATTACAGCAGATGAACTCAACATTTATCATGTGCCTATTTTATGTCAGAATGATGAGCTCCGATTCCCATAACCTTCAGCATTTTTAATTCATAGAGGAAATAGACAAATGTAAACAGTGCAAGAAAGGACAGGATGGAAATACGCACAGGGTAAGGGCACTTAGCTAAACTTGTAGAAGTTGGGAAAGCTACCTGGGGAGGTACCTGACGGGCAGGGAGAAGGGCAAGGCCAAAAGCATGGAGCTGAGAGACCCTGGCATATCAGGGGAACAAAAAGTAGTATAATTTGCTATGGATGGAACATAGGATATATATGAAGGGGGGGACGGGGGAGAGGGAGAGAGATGAGCCTGGGAGGTTAGTAAGCTCTAGTTCATGGAGGGTCTCATATATCCTGGTGGGAAGATAGTCTTTTATTGGGAAACTTTTAAGGAACTTAAAGCAGTAGAGCAATGCGATTAGATTTGCATTTAATAATATTGTGGAAAATGGATTGAAGGGATAAAATTTGTGATGGCAAGATCTGTGACAGCCATCTACACAAAAAATATAAGGGTACTGACTGAATTGAGGGGGTGGCAGTGTTGATGGAAATGATAGAACAAATTCAGGATGGCAGAACCAGGTAGACAAAGTGATGAGACCCAATATGGCAGTAGAGTCAGGAGTGATGGCACCATTTTGGAGAGAAGTGGGTTTGGGGAAGAAACTCACCACGTACTGACCTCCAGAACCTTCAAGAATGCTCAAGTGTCACAGTCAAGTTCTTCCCAAGTTTCTATCTCTTCCATTTCCTGCACTGAATGTCAACTTGATGATCAGAATTGGACATGGAGCAGTAGTTACCCAATTGTTGTGTACACTTTCTAGAAGAAATAGCTGTCAACTCGGTGTGTCAAAAACCTCTCAGACCCTCCTCTCAGCTGAATGTATTCTTCCAACAGATGTCTGTGGAATCAAAGTTTATCATCATTGTTGTATCTTTTATAACAGCGTTGTGATCTGTGGTGAGGAAATACATCACTGTTTCTCTCCACAGCCTGGAAGGTCTGAGGTGTATTTCTATCATGCCAATACCTCTGTTCCTCCCTCCTTTTAATCTTCATCTAAAAACTAGGAAGGACCAGACTCATAATTCTTAGCTAGCCTATGTTTTATTCCTAATACTTGGTTGTGAAAGTTTGCATTTTGTAACAAGTCACCAACCAAAAAATCTCTTTAAAAATGCTATCGAAAATATTCAGCTTATAGCCTCTTTCTCACCAACTTAAGAGAACACATGAATTCACTGTTTGTATTATGAAATCAGAGGTGAACCTCCTTCACCGCGTGAAAAGATGAGGGAGCAAGAATCTACAGGAAAGGAGATTAGGAGAATCCCAGTTATTTTTAGAATAATGGAATGTATACAACAGCTTTGATGCCACGTTATCTGTGCGGCAGCCGTTTGAGCAACCCTTCTCTGTTTCCGTTTAGACCACTCTCATCTCCAGGAACTGGCTCTCTGCGGGCCGCACATGAAGTTTGACGAAGATCGTTGTGAGTGTGTCTGTAAGACGCTGTGTCCCAGAGATCTCATCCAGCACCCAGAAAACTGCAGTTGTATGGAGTGCAGAGAGACCCTGGAGAGCTGCTGCCAGAAGCACAAGATATTTCACGCAGAAACCTGCAGGTCAAAGGCATTTTCACTTTTATCTTCATTTGACCCACTGACATTGAATGTGAATGCCCTTCCGATTTGGTGAGATTCCTTCTTAAGGCATTGTTTGCAGTGCCCAAGCCCCTTTTTTTGGATAGTAAAACAGAGGTTTGGCAACTGAGGATGAAGTGAGAGTATATAAAGTGATGATTAAGTGTGAAAACAAGACAATCCTGGGGCGCCTGGGTGGCTTAGTTGGTTAAGCGGCTGACTCTTGGTTTCAGCTCAGGTCCTGATCTCGGGGTCCTGGGATCGAGCCCCGTGTCAGGCTCTGCGCTCACTGGGGAGTCTGCTTGAGACTCTCTCTTTCTCTCTCCCTCTCCTCCTCTCAAATAAATAAATCAATCTTAAAAAAAAAAAAAGAAAATCCTGCCTGCTATTGTTGGGTATGGATCTTCAGCAAAAAGTTAATTGATGAGATTTAAACAATTATTTGGGGGGTGAGTTTCAGATCAGCAGATTCTTTGGTTCGATCTCTCTCAATATATGTCCACCTAACTATGTTTGTTTTTTCTTTGAGGAAGGGGCTGGCACTGGATTTATATAGCAAGAAATTTATTGATTAATAGAACCCTTACAGGTTACCGTTTGGGCTTTCATAGATTTTGCATCCATGTGGAATAACCATTCAGGATTTTATATTCACATTTTCAGTACATATCTGGAAAATTCACTTGGATAAACGTAATCAAATCAGAACAGAGTTAGTCCTTTGAATGTAGTCCTTTATTCTGAATTGTCATGTTTATTTTCTTTTGCAACAGCTGTGAGGACAGATGTCCCTTTCACACCAGAACATGTGCAAATGGAAAACCAGCATGTGCAAAGCATTGCCGCTTTCTAAAGAAGAAGGCTGCCTGTGGGCTCCACGGTCAAGAAAATCCTTGACTCAAATTTGTTCCTAAGTTCCCCATCCCTGACATTTTAAACAGCATGCTGCTTTGCCAAGTTGCTGTCACTTTTTTTTTCCCCAGGTACTAGAAAAAAATCCGTTTTACCCATAGTCCCACAGTGACTCCAGATCACTCTTCCATTGCACACCAGCTGAGAATTCCCTGGTTCACTGACAGATGTCTTCCAACTGAGATGCCCCTGCACACCGAGAATGGAGAGGAGGGGACCTGTGTAAACCTTTTTTTTTTTTTGGTGAATGAAAAGGGTCTGATCATCCTAGAATCAGAGGGGCCATATGATTGATTACTCCAAGCCCATGGGGCAATTTTATAGTCTCCAAGTCCTTTGCTAATGCAACTCTCTTGTGAATCATTCTGACTCTTTATTATGCAGATTTCGATTTGTAGGATCAGCCCTGATTTTCTGATTACTGTCCAGCTTGTAGTTTTGAGTTTACTGAACTACTGTCTGTTGTTTCATATTTAAGTGTATTTAAAGAAAATAAACATAATTATTCAGGCCATGGAATTTTGTGTTATTTAATATGGTATCACTCTAAATTTTATGCCAAAGGACAAAAACATGTTTTAAAGAGAGAAAGGAATTGAGAAGGGGGAGGGATGGGGAGAGACATGGGCACAACAAAACTTGATGTCAGTTTGGGAAAGCCCGGGGAGTAGCTCTCAGAAAGTTTAAGATTCTAAATGAGGTTAAGCGTCTGCCTTCGGCTCAGGTCATGATCCCAGGGTCCTGGGATAGAGCCCCACATCGGGCTCCCTGCTCAGCAGGGAGTCTGCTTCTCTCTCTGCCCTCCACCCTCATGCTCGCACTCTCTGTCATAGATATATAACATCTTTAACAATACATACATACATACATACATACATACATACGGTTAAGCAAGTGTGACCCAAGAATCAGCTGTCTTTGCTTTGAGATTCAATTTGACTTCACTTGACCCACATCTCATGATGGAGGAGAGCCCACTGATAACCCCTGATGTCTTTGAGAACTTGCGTCTTCTGGGTGCCTCCAGCTCCAACTTTGTGCACTGGTTCTCTGGTCGTTCACGTCTCCCTTCTCGTGACCAAGGGATTCTTCTCTCTGTCCCACGGCCACCCAGGAAGGGAGCATGGGCCTCTTCCCTTGCTTTTTCTCCAAAATATTCCCGCAAATACTTTTTTGATGGCATAGACTTTACTGAAAGTTTGGTAAACCGGAGGGAGTTAGCATTAGCAGAATGAAACTAGCTTTACGAGTATTAAGTGTTTTTAGCAAATTAAAAAGTTAATGCACAGAATCAAGTTGTTTAGCAAATAACTTAAAAATGGATGCCCTCCCCAGCATCTTGCAGAAATAGAAAGGTCGATAGATACACAATCTATTACAACACTTCATCACTTTTGTAAATAGCTGTGTTAATGCTTCTCTCTCCATACACTGCGACCTCCTTACAATTGGAAACTGTCCTGATCAAAATTGTGTTACCCAAGCTGTACAATAACAAGGGGGAAGAAGATAACCAACAAACACGGCAAAATAGTTTTGTTTCTCCTGACGCTGCATGGTAGAATTGCTGGATCCTGGCCCAAATCCCTGCCCTTCCTCTCCCGGTCCCTAAGCAGTTCCTGAATTCTCCTCTTGTTCACCCAAGTCCTCTGCGGCCTGTGGCTCCGGGCCCCTGTTCCTTTCCTGGCTTTAGTTCTCAGTCTCTGCCCTGGGGACACGGCTGATCTGGACCTGGCTTGGGACCAGTCCCCATCGTGCTGCCATTATCACTTCTGTCATTTGCTGGCTTTGGCCCAATCATCCCTCTCCTGTAACTGTTCCTCTTGCCCCCGCTTTATGACCTTCAAGCCAAAGGGCCTTCTTCCTTCTAGTTTCACTGTTTGATTCCTAGCCTTCTGAAAGGGCTCGTACATAACACATTAGCATTCAACTCCTAGCTGTGTTCCTTCACTCAGTTCCTACCCCTCTCTCCTCCTCTGTAGTTGTTGGTCAAATTCCCCTGAGAGCTGGGGCAGACAGGCAGCCCGAGGGACACTGCACAAAGGAGTCACTTTGCTCATCTTTGGTCAAAAGAGAGTCTAAATCCAAGGACAGGCTCTGCCACCTAATCTCATTATGAGCCTGAGAAACCCCATGGATCCTTAGTTTCCACACCTGCCAAATGTGGGTGATAATCCCCTCTCCTTGCTCTCAGAGTTGCTAACTTCACCTGAGTTATGGAAAGTGAAAACAATTTGAAAAATACAATGTAAATTACAAATTAAAGGGATCATCCTGAAAGAGAGAAGCATGACTGTGAGCAAATTTCTTGGTTTATGCTGGATTCCCGGATCTTCCCTAAAACCAACTCAAACCATGTTTTGGTTAGTGGCTCTGGCTTCCTAACTGCCATTTAGATGGGGATATAATAGAGAATTCTGGGCTAGGACAAAACTATTTACTGTCTGGCTTTGCACTTCTAACTCTCCGTAACTACCAAGGGATGTGCACTTGGATCTCTGAGGCTGCGTCTGAGCTGGGATGGGGCTGGTCCTCAGGGTGGAGGTGGGATAACTGGCCTACTGCCTTATTAGAATTTACTGGTCATTGTACAGGAGTCCTTGTCATACTAACAGCTTTGGAATGTGGGCTGAAAATTCTCAATTTGTTGCAAAATAAAAATATGTGGGAAGCCTCAAGAGCTTAAAGCAAACACAGTAAATGTGAGTGATGCATGATGTCTCTGATTATCTAAGCCACAAGGCTAGAGAATGTATTAATAGGGCAGCACAGATCATAAATCTGTGACTAAAGAAAGCAGTGTGGCAGGAGGCCCTTTAGAGTTGGAAACAGATTAGACAGCATAACAGTCAGAGTTGGATGAGATTAAAATACTGAGATACTTGATCAAGGAGATGACACAAATCATCCATTTTAAGGCTTTTTTTTTTTTTTTTTAAGTAAACTCTATCCCCAATGTGGGGCTCGAACTTGTGACTCGGAGATGAAGAGTCACACACTCTACTGACTGAGCCAGCCAGGAGGCCCCCATTTTAAGGCTTTCAAGGAAAGTAGTAGTTTGGTGAAAATTGTGACCTTAATGGATTTGGTCACTTGGTCAACAAGAGCTGGACTTTGTCTAATTTACTCATAATCCTCAGTGTGAAAACAGTGGCTTACATTTAGTAGGTACCTAATAAATAATCATCAATAAATAATAAAGAAGTATTACATTAATTTTGTGGAAGCCCAGGATGAACTCTCATTCTCCACGGCCTCTCTCCAGGTGGCTTTTCATCATTCAGTATCTTGCCTGAGCTTCTTTGCTGCATAGCCATTGGCGATCAAGAGGAGAGTATCCATTAGGTCATTCCTCTGTGCATAAGCACTTACTACTTAAGCTTCTGCTGCCTCTCATTTACTGATGACCCATTGGCCAAGCAAGTCACACAGCCCAGCCTGGAGTCAGTGTCGGAGGGGATAAGATAAGAGTGTGAATACTGGAAGGTGGTTCATTGAAAGCCGCCAATGTAAACGCCTCCCCTGCCAATGTAAACGCCTCCTACAAGCCTGGTTCCTGTCTCTAGCCACATGCAGAGCCCTTAGTCTTTGTCATTCTTCAAGAGCTGAACCCTGTTCATGTCTCCCTGCTTCCACATACAGAGTCCAGGACCTGTGGTGGCTTTGGTTGGATTACCATTTTGCATTTTGGTTCTCTTTCCGGCACGCGGAAATCTTTGTTCTTTTTTAAATCACAGCTATAACATTTTGATTTTCTCATATCTCTTTTTCTTTTTGAAGCAGAATGGGGAGTGAGTCGTCTCAAGATGTTAATTGAAAATATTATTTCGGCTGCAAGTCTGGCTCAACATCAAGTCCATTTTCCTCAGGAAGATCCTCCACCAGTTTGCTTCAACTTTTGCTGGAAATGCCACCGTTGTCCTGTCTGAATCCCCCCCCCCACCCGCCCTCATCCCCTGCAAAACCACACAGTAGTATACACTGGACAGTCAGCACCTGTCTCTCTACCTTGTTCCTATTGTTCTTGGAATGATCTTGCTCCCAACAGTTGCATGAGCACCTTTTACTTCTACGCTGAATGCTGGCAGCTAGAAATACTCTTTCCCTCTGAACTCCCAGTGTTTTTCTTGTAGTTCTCTTACAGTGCTTATCACTTCCTACCTTTTCTCACAGGTATGCCTTAACTCCGTCTTGGTTCCTTGGGTGTAAAGCTCGTGCCAGAATTTCCCTGCCTCGTGTCTTGTACATAGATAGGAGGCTCTCGATACAAATATGTGGCCTTCCCACTCCAAAATTATCCAAGGGAGCTTGGAGTTGAATTTACAAAGAGCTTGATTTCAAGGGAAGGGGATATCGACATTTATTTTATACCTTCTCCATTTATAGGCCATTTTATACCACAACTGGTACTGACTGCCCTCATATTTTACTAAGTGTAATCAGAATACACTGCCTGTAAGTATTTTACTTTAATTTTAGTAGTTTCTAAGAAAATTCTCTAAAAGCACACCTTGATTCCATACATTTAAGCAGCACACTATAATTAGAATTATCCCTAGTTTTATAACTTAATCCTGATGCTACAACTTTGCTTTGACTTTTAGAAAGTAGCCTTAAATTTTAACTGACTATAAATAGAGTCTCATACCCACATGAGATTGTGAGCCATGTGCAGAATTATGATTTTTTTTGCCTTTAATGCTCAGTGCCTAGGTCAGAGACTGGAGCATGATGAATGAATTTCAATGTTTTCAGACTGCCAGAACCTATACACGTCACTGGAACAGCCTGTAGTTTTCTCAGCCCTCTCCCCCGCCACAGAGACTCAGCAACAGTGTGCCTTTATTAATTATTTATAAAGGTCAGCCTCTCCTACAGTATTTAAAACACAAAGAACATTTCAAGGAAACTGGATTGCTTTTTACTATTGCAAAAGGTATATAAAAGCTAGGAAGGATTTAAAAAAACTTTTAAAACATAGGGACTATGTTTAATATTCCTTGTATTCCCCACAAAGCCTTCCACGGAGTCGGCACTCAGTAAATGTTTGATGATAAAGGTAGAAAATATTCTGTTTTGAAAAAAGATCACAACTCTTTTGAAGGAATATTGGCATCAGGATCTTAGAATTTCAAATGGGTATTGTGATTAGAACTATGGCACTGGCAAACCAGGGGATCAAGAAATGGGCTTACTATACTTTCCAGGGTCTCTGCCCACACCCTGTGTCTTAAAACCTATCGCAAAAATGAAAAGGAGACCAAAGCAATGCTGTAGCATCTGGTAGTGTTGGTGCGATCTGGGCAACCAACTGCAACTTATTAAGCTTGAATAAGTATCCTTGAGCCTTCATTATCTTTATTCTCTGATGCTTCAATATTAGTGCAGCGTATCTATTCCTACTTGACTTAAATAACTTCAACTCATTAAAGTTAACTCACTGATACACTTCAAATCCTACAATCAAAATGCTCTTTGAATTATATCACTGAACTGTAATTTTTAAAAAAGATTTATTT